AGTGGATATGTAGAACTGTTCAAGGTATATCTAAATCAATGTTGACCTGTGAAAGTCTTACACAGTGTCTCTATAGAACTGTTCCAGGTTGAACTATATCGATGTATAACCTGTGAAATCCTTACACAGTGGCTCTGTAGAACTGTTCCAGGTTGAACTAAATCAATGTATAACCTGTGAAAGCCCTACACAGTGGATCTGTAGAACTGTTCCAGGTTGAACTAAATCGATGTATAACCTGTGAAAGTCCTACACAATGGCTCTATAGGACTCTTCCAGGCTGAACTAAGTCGATGTATAAACTGTGAATGTCCTACACAGTGGATCTGTAGAACTGTTCCAGGTTGAACTAAATCAATGTTTAACCTGTGAATATCCTACACAGTGGCCCTGTAGAACTGTTCCAGGTTAAACTATATCAATGTATTACCTGTGAAAGCCCTACACAGTGGCTCTGTTGAACTGTTCGAGATTGAACTAAATCGATGTATAAACTGTGAAAGCCCTATATAGTGGCTCTGTAGAACTGTTCTAGGTTGAACTATTTCAATGTTTAACCTGTGAAAGTCCTACGCAGTGGATCTGTAGAACTGTTCCAGGTTGAACTATATAAATGTATAACCTGTTAAAGCCCTACACGGTGGCTCTGTAGGACTGTTCCCGTTTGAATTAAATCGATGTATAACCTGTGAAAGTCCCACGCAGTGTCTCTGTAAAACTGTTCCAGGTTCAACTATATAATTGAATAATCTTTGAAAGTCCTACACAGTGGCCCCGTAGAACTGTTCCAGGTTGAACTATATCGATGCATAACCTGTGAAAGCCCTACACAGTGGCTATGTAGAACTGTTCCAGGTTGAACTATTTCAATGTATAACCTGTTAAAGTCCTACACAGTGGCTCTGTAGAACTGTTCCAGGTTGAACTAAATCGATGTATAACCTGTGAAATCAATACACAGTGGCTATGTAGAACTGTTCCAGGTTGAACTATTTCAATGTATAACCTGTTGGAAATGTTGTATTAAAGGTTTGTCATTATGATGTACAGTTCTGTAGAATGTGGAGATCATGTATATATAAGTCACTTTTACACCATGCTGATTGCCAAAATGGTAAAAAATGGATAACGTTATATATTCCTGCATCTGCCAAAACAAATAAGGTTTGACACAAGGTTTGCTGTGTCAAATGAAAACAAAATACAGGAATTTAAATTCATGAATTTAATTCATTGAGTACTGAATGTCTGTGGAGTCTTCATTTGTTCCTGTAGTTGATCTCTGCAATATGAAACAACGTATATACACTCTACTTGTATTACAGGTATAACATTACACATAAAATACTGTATTCATTAGCATAGAAAGTTCCAAAAGTTCTACAGTACGTGAAACTGATCATGATCAATATGATTGGGATGCAATGACATGCATCAAGGAAGTCAGCGAGCCTGACCACCCACAATAAGAAACACCTAACGATTTCGAAGTGAGAATTGTGACCAGACTCGTTCAGTTTTCGATCACCTTTTTCCCCACTCATTGTCACAGGTTTCAGAGTACCAAGTATCATATGAAATGTATTTGTAACATTTATTCAACATGATATAGTTCAGTATCTTTAAATATAGTTCGAACAAATATGGTTGCAATCAATTTCAACGTATGTTTCACTGGTACACACTAGCTACATCCATCTCACCTTAATAATTAAAAAACGATGACCAACTCACTGACAATATAGATTATAATAACTTTTGTCTATCGACTAGCTTATCACCACACCAATTACCGCAAACACCTTTTGCTCGTTTCATTAGTTTATTAAAGATATTAAAAATACACATCGTAAGCGCCTTGCTTCAATATAACTTTAGACAACACCAGCAATCAGATGATGCACATTTGGGCTAGTTCAGTCTATTCTTCTGAGTAAAACGGTACTCTAACCATTAGACTATCTGCATGTAGGTCTACAGAAACATAACAACTAGCGGAGAAGGCTTTGGAAAAAAATAACATACCGCATCTGAACAACTATCCAGTTCTTGCTGAAGCTATTCTAGATTCGCCTCTTTCACTTGATGATGTGAGTGAGGCAACACACAAACTAAAATGATATAGCTTTTGTAAAACACTCAAAGGATATTCTATTGCCTTATATTTCCATTTCTAATGACATTTTTTTAAATGTCATTTATAAATACATGGTCCATAGGAATTATCGTTTCGGTTCATGAAAAGGGTGATTTACATTCAGCCTCAAATTATAGAGGAAATATAGTGCTAAGTGTTTTTAGTAAACTATCCACAGCAAGTTCATATAATAGACTAAACTTCTAGTATATTGTATATACTCCATTTACTGAATCACTGTTTTCGGCAATGCAATTCATGTCCTGATATTTGTTTTCATTTGACATTCGATCAATAGGTATTGCTTTTCTAAGGCTTTTGATCTGATTAACAAAGCCAAGCCCTGGTCAGACCCTCCTCCTGTTTCTTGGAAAAAAAGTATTGTTTAAATCAGACCCTCCTCCCACACCCGCACCCCCCTATCAAAACGAAAGGGCGTTTCTCCTTAGAGGTTGGGATCTAATAAATCCATTTATCATATAATGGGCAGGTTTCTCGGCAGGATAAAGCCAACGGATAAAAACGATATCCGTTGGGGTCATATGCGGATAGAGATGCAAATATCAAAGGTCAAGTAGGACTACTTTCACTGTTTATAAACAGTCCTCGTCATTCGGCGATCGAGTCAAAATTAACCATCGGGAATCTGGATAAACAACAGGGATAATTGCTACCATTATCAAAAGAACAGTCTAATAAACTGAAAATCACTGTCTAACTGTGACGTAGCTAAGGCATTTTATAAGTTTTGGCTACTTTGGAGGTATATATTTCGAAACAATTTTGCGAGGGCGCGAGGCCTAGCCAAGCGGGATCAGTAGCAATATCTGTGCTTGTAGACCTCTGCGACTTGAAACCTTCTCCACAAATTAAAACAGTTGGATTTGGCCGAAATATGTTTGAATTGTTACCTTGTTTGGTTTTGTCGCTGTGTGTACATCTGACTACACTTCTTAACCTTATGACAGGACAGACCGACTGTCAACAACGTCTGACCGTGCCCATGACGTCTCATAGACTAGGGTTAGAGTAGCTTCCCTTTGACAAAGGGCAGTTACTCTAGCGGACAGACCGATGGATTGCCGCGAAAGGCAATTAAAAACAACTGTTGTTTTGCGTATATGTTGCTTCGCCACTGTATAAGAAAGAGATTTCAGTTGGAACTATATTGGCTACTGTCACTGTCCGACTGACACATCACTTACCCTGTGACGTAATAAATATTAAAGCGCGCATTCCAGGAAAACTCGCAATGTTTCGGTAATGTTTGTGAGAGAGGGATAGCGATTTTTAAAGCACAGAATTAAAGCATGACATTATATGATAAAGAGGTTATCACGCTTGTGTGTTTGGGGATGGTAAATATCCTGTATTAGGAATAAACACTATGTATTTAGCTCGCCAAGGCTCGCTAAATACAATGCTTATTCCTAATGCAGGATATTTACCATACCCAAACACACTCGCGTGATAACCTCTATTTATGATAGTGTAAAATGTTGTGTCAAAGGTATTTATTCATTTACTTTCGGAAACTATCCAATGTACTGTTGGTGTACGCAAAGTATGTGTCTTAAGTCCGTCACTGTTTTCCATGTTAATTACAATGTAGCCAATACATGTACAGTATACAATTGCATCCGGAATTGACACAGTTGTTTTACTACTTTTTTATCGGATGGTCCTGAAAAAATTACATTGAAGTGCTGCTATCCGAGCAAAAAAGGTATTATTTTGAATGACACAATACTTGTTTACTTTGAAGCCACTAACACAAAATGTATTTTTTCAAAATCTTTGATTCATAACTATCAGCTATATTATCATTTGGTCGTGGACTTTGGGGAATAGGTAGTGATAGTACTTCTGAAATCGAGAAATACATTTGTTGGTATGTTAATATGTGTAGGTGTAAACAGTGCTTCTCCGAACCACGTTGTTCGTGAAGAGTGTGGTCGATATGTTCTGCATATATTTGACTATAAACATAGTGTAACATATTGGCACAAGACTTTTATATAATATTATGTCCGTCACCCGTGATCCACGGACATGTCATATGCTTTTACTATTGGATGCCAGTTATGGCAGGGTAAGTGAGATTACAAAACTAAAGTGTTTGTTTGGTAGCAACAATAACTTCATATGATTATAGCTATTTGAAAGAACTCATGTTGAGATTAACATCTACGAATGAACAGGACTGGCATAATACACTGTACCGTGGCTCAAACACATGTTCATATTCTTATTTGAGACATCATTTTGTACTGAAAATTTAGATTTGCCTCGGTACTATTTAGATTCAGTTCACATCACTTAAATATAGAAACTGCGAAATTTGTTAACATACCAAGAGAAAATAGATTGTGTGAGGTGTGTTCTTTTGGCTACCGAAAGTGAATATCATTTTAAACTCATTTGTACTGCCTTGGTTGTTGAAGTTGCACTCGGAGAATCTGGCTTAATGCTAGATGAGGCTTGATGGCTGGTTTTGTCGTCTGTGGCAGTCAGGTAGTATGGTGTTGTTGACTTTGCACTGGCAGTATCTGACTTCTCCCTAGAAGATATGTGGAGACTGGATTCTACAATAGGTCGAGTATCAGGTTTATCTGATGCCTGTCTGGATGAATGCTGTGCTTGAGAAGGCAAACGCACATCAATGTTTGGAATCTGATTATCTGCTATTTGGACTTGGTCTTGATCCTCTGGTTGGGGATGGATTGCAATGACGGCTTGTGGCCGCCTGTGGCCTGGTATTTTATCTTGTATCCATACTACTTGACTGCTACATCATCTTGTGAGAAACCATATACTGCGAGTGCAACTTCAACAACACCACATCACGTTACTGATGCAAGAGATGAATGCAACCAGTCCCCAACCATCATCTGCTGAGGAGCCAGATACTCCGACGGCAACGTCAACACAACATCACCTTACTGCAACAGAAGACGAATCCAGTGCTCGACCCTCGTCTACTGAAAACTCAGATACTGCGAGTGCAACATCAGCAACACCATACTACCTGACTGATACAGAGGACAAATCCAGTCGTCAAACATCGTTTACTGAGAAGCCAGATGCAGATACTTCGACAACACCACACCAGCTTAGTGAGGCAGAAGGCGAATCCAGACCCCAACCATCCTCTTATGAGAAGCCAGATACTCCGACGGGAACGTCAGCAACACCATACTACCTGACTGATACAGAGGACAAATCCAGTCTCCAAACATCGTTTACTGAGAAGCCAGATACAGATACTTGGACAACACCACATCACCTTAGTGAGGCAGAAGACGAATCCAGTCCCCAACCATCCTCTTATGAGAAGCCAGATACTCCGAGGGAAACGTCAACACAACGCTACCTGACTGATACAGAAGACGAATCCAGTCGTCAAACATCATCTACTGAGAAGCCAGATACTTCGACAACAACACACCACCTTAACGAGGCAGAAAACGCCGTCTTCCTAAAAGTGAGCTGTATGGTCGTATAGGCATTTTAAAACAGAATATTAGATATATTCTAGCATGACAACATTATGGAACATCTTTGGTGTTAGTGAAGACAAGAGGTGTAGCACAATGGGCTGTTTGGTGTCCCTAAACTTTGTAATACAAGCATGTGTTTCATTTTGTCCAAAATGAACTGCCATACATACTTTGAATATTCTTGCACAACATTATGTAAGCTTCCACTGTGGTGAAGCGTTTGGATGGTTGGTTTCAATATTAGGTTGTTTTTATCGTTTGACTGGTTTTTGTTTTATTTCAAATTCAGAGAAAAGTATGCGTATTGAGAAATGTATCAATATGTTGTGAAAATTCGACAATAATGTCCAGGATGGTTTTCACAAAATACTGTCTGAAGTACCAGTTGACAATCAGTAAACACACAACACAATACAGGCATTGATGGGACCACTCTGATGTATATTTTTGCGATAGTGTTTTAAACAACCGATGTCTTGCCATTACCCTACATATAACATGATACAGACTGTCAAGGATATAACTAGTACTGTACAAGCTCACTACAGCATCCTAAATCATACAGATTGCCCCTTGCAGATGCATTGAAGCCAATGTATAATTGATTGTATATTTGTTTGTTGTTTTTTTTATTTTTAATTTGCTGAGATGTATATGGTTGTTTTGATGAATATGACATATTGACATATTGACTAATCAGTTTGTTAGCTCACCTCACTGAAAGTCAAGTGAGTTAGTTCATGGTCAAGTTGTCCGGCATCGGTGGCGTCTGTAAATATATTTTTTCTCTCAAACCACTGAACCAATGAAGCTTAAACAGCACATGCTTGTTTGTAACCAATGATGACATCTTGATTTGTTCAACCCAAACTATGTGTTCTGGAGGGGCGGTGAGGAAGTGAGGGTTCAGCAGAAAATTATTATAAAAGTTGCATTTTTTGTTCATTTGTGTATGCTGTTACAACTAAGTCACTCCTGATACTTTTACAAAGTACAATCACATATTAACACCGAAGTCCCTCATGTTACTTGGGAATGGTACTTGGGAAGTCCCTCATATTACTAGGGAAGTCCCTCATGTTGCTTTGGAAGTCCCTCATGTTGCTTGGGAAGTCCCTCATGTTACTAGGGAAGTCCCTCGTGTAGCTGGGGACGTCCCTCATGTTACTAGAAAATACTCTCATGTTACCAGGGAAGTCCCTCATGTTAGTAGGGAAGACCAACAGGCTACTTGGGAGGTCCCTCGTGCTGCTTGGGAAGTCCCTCCTGTTGCTCGGGAAGTCCATCATATTGCTTGGGAAGTCCATTGTGTTGCTTGGGAAGTCCCTCGTGTTGCTTGGGAAGTCCTTCGTGTTGCTTTGGAAGTCCCTCGTGGTAGTTTGGAAGGCCCCAAGATGAACTAAAGCGCCGTGGCTCTGTTCTATGTTTTTTTCTCCACAAACCGCTGCATTTTACAAAACCGCTCCAGATATCAGAAACATGCCCATTAAACCGTAGGCTGCGTTGAGTGTTGGGAACATTGCGGGGAAGGCCATCGTTCAAACGCCACCTCCCGAGGTACATATTCCATTAGCCAGAGCTCTACGTTTCTTGATGTACTGGTTTACTATCACCTCGGACGGTAGGAGCATCAGACCCAGGCCAATTCCTGAACGAGATGTAAATTCATGCAACCAGAAAAAACCGAATCATCAATATATACTAATGGAAAAAGGTAACTGTGCTTCATATAAAGTGGTGTGAATATCATGTTCTTTATTTTAATACCAAACACACTACTTGGGCATTCGTTTGATCAACAAATTCATTGACAAAACCCATACCTGGTTACACGAGACAGAGAAACACGCCCTAAAAGAAAGGTGGCGTATCAACTCAGTGAACGATGTCAAGATCGGGTGTGACCACCATTGATACAGGCAGGCAGCGGTGGCGCATTGATTGACTGAGTGCATGAGTATAGCTATGCTTCAGAGAGGTCTTGAGTCTTCGTAGGCGTCGTTCCATCTCTTTCCCTTAACATAGGGGTCTGGGGTCCTCGTAGGCGTCGATCCATCTCTTTCCCTTAACATAGGGGTCTGGGGTCCTCGTAGGCGTCGATCCATCTCTTTCCCTTAACATAGGGGTCTGGGGTCCTCGTAGGCATCGTTCCATCTCTTTCCCTTAACATAGGGGTCTGGGGTCCTCGTAGACGTCGTTCTATCTCTTTCCCTTAACATAGGGGTCTGGGGTCCTCGTAGGCATCGTTCCATCTCTTTCCCTTAACATAGGGGTCTGGGGTCCTCGTAGGCGTCGATCCATCTCTTTCCCTTAACATAGGGGTCTGGGGTCCCCGTAGGCGTCGATCCATCTCTTTCCCTTAACATAGGGGTCTGGGGTCCTTGTAGACGTCGTTCTATCTCTTTCCCTTAACATAGGGGTCTGGGGTCCTCGTAGGCATCGTTCCATCTCTTTCCCTTAACATAGGGGTCTGGGGTCCTCGTAGGCATCGTTCCATCTCTTTCCCTTAACATAGGGGTCTGGGGTCCTCGTAGACGTCGTTCTATCTCTTTTCCTTATAATAGGGGTCTGGGGTCCTCGTAGGCATCGTTCCATCTCTTTCCCTTAACATAGGGGTCTGGGGTCCTCGTAGGCGTCGATCCATCTCTTTCCCTTAACATAGGGGTCTGGGGTCCTCGTAGGCGTCGATCCATCTCTTTCCCTTAACATAGGGGTCTGGGGTCCTCGTAGGCGTCGTTCTATCTCTTTCCCTTAACATAGGGGTCTGGGGTCCTCGTAGACGTCGTTCTATCTCTTTCCCTTAACATAGGGGTCTGGGGTCCTCGTAGGCGTCGATCTATCTCTTTCCCTTAACATAGGGGTCTGGGGTCCTCGTAGACGTCGTTCTATCTCTTTCCCTTAACATAGGGGTCTGGGGTCCTCGTAGGCGTCGATCCATCTCTTTCCCCTAACATAGGGGTCTGGGGTCCTCGTAGACGTCGTTCTATCTCTTTCCCTTAACATAGGGGTCTGGGGTCCTCGTAGACGTCGTTCTATCTCTTTCCCTTAACATAGGGGTCAGGGGTCCTCGTAGACGTCGTTCTATCTCTTTCCCTTAACATAGGGGTCTGGGGTCCTCGTAGGCATCGTTCCATATCTTTCCCTTAACATAGGGGTCTGGGGTCCTCGTAGGCGTCGATCCATCTCTTTCCCTTAACATAGGGGTCTGGGGTCCTCGTAGGCATCGTTCCATATCTTTCCCTTAACATAGGGGTCTGGGGTCCTCGTAGGCGTCGATCCATCTCTTTCCCTTAACATAGGGGTCTGGGGTCCTCGTAGGCGTCGTTCCATCTCTTTCCCTTAACATAGGGGTCTGGGGTCCTCGTAGGCATCGTTCCATCTCTTTCCCTTAACATAGGGGTCTGGGGTCCTCGTAGGCGTCGATCCATCTCTTTCCCTTAACATAGGGGTCTGGGGTCCTCGTAGGCATCGTTTCATCTCTTTCCCTTAACAGAGGGGTCTGCAGTCCTCGTAGGCATCGTTCTATCTCTTTCCCTTAACAGAGGGGTCTGGTGTCCTCGTAGGCATTGTTCCATCTCTTTCCCTTAACAGAGGGGTCTGCAGTCATCGTAGGCATCGTTCCATCTCTTCCCCTTAACAGAGGGGTCTGGAGAAAGAACTGGCCAAAGCAACACAGCAATGTTATTTTGCCTCAAGATGTCTGTTACAACACGTGCAGTATGTTAGGACAGGCATTTTCCTTCTGCAACGAGACTTTGCGTCCCCGCATTTACACAAAGGGTACAACAAAGTCATGATCTCGAACGCTGTCGTCCCGGTAGTTGAGGCCATTCAAACTGCCATTAAAAATAATGATTTATGTTCTTCCATGAGTTGTGATGCCACCTAATACCATTACACATTCACTCCCAAACTAAAGCGTCGCTAAAACGATTTCCTCTAAGCCTGTTGACACTTGCACGACCATCAGATGTGTCCAGATGAAACCTGTTCTCCTCCGTGAACAGTATACTGTCCCAGTCGTATCTTCTGAGCATCAGATACTGTCTACACTAAGCTCGCCGTGTCTATCGGTGACGTGAAAGCAACACTGGACGGATGTTGTGCTCCTTCTGCCATTAATTTGTCTCAACCCAGGAATTGTCCGAGCTGTTAATGTGGTAGTTTGGTATCGATTCCGTAGATGTCCCAATCGAATAGGATTGCCTTGTTGAAGTGTCTGTATCAGAAAACGTTTCCAAAAAGATAAGATTGTGTTTCGATGAACATTAAAATGTCTGTCAACTTCGTCTGCGCCATTCCTGCTTGCAGCATACCCACAGCGCGTAGACGTGGCATTCCCTTAACCTTTTCTATGGTTAAACGAGTTTTTTTTATGAGCAGTTGATAGCTGTGTGATTATCAGGCTAAAAACACCACGTAAATATCCAAATTGTGTGTCACGACTTCAAACTCGACGAGATGGATAATTTAATTTCAGAATACATTTGGTTTGATTGAACTTTATATGGAGCCAGGTTACGTTTTTCAGTTAATAGTACATGTGTACTCTACGATCTTCGTCATTGCAATATTTGTGTGACATGTTTTAATACTACTTGAGCGTTATAATTGCTTATTCGTTCCAGCTCACCTACTAAAAATCCGTAACTGATCTAGAGGAAGTCAATATTGGTTGCAAAGGAGCTGATTACAAAGACGGATGAAGCGATGACAGCTCCGCTCATCGCCACAGTACGGCAGCCATATTTGTCCGTTAAGATCCTGCAACTGGGCCTGAGTGAAAGAAAGTAATTAGAACAATATACACTCTTCAAAAAAGGAAACGCACAAACAAACAAACAAACAAACAAAACAATAGGTTAACAGGGAAGGTATGTTATAATGGTGTTACGTAGCAATCAAAGACTTATTCGGATTCATTCACACGACACTTGCTTGTCATTGGAAATACATAACTGAAAGGAGTACTGGCATTACTTCGGTAATAGAACTTTGCAACAGG